AGACCCTGTACTAAATACATTAAAATTTTTTTAAAAAGAACAGAAAATGAGAGTGTTATATATACCTGATGCAAGGAGGAGTTTTTTGTTTGCTTGTTTGTTCTGAGATAGGCTCTTATTATATAGTCCAGGCCTGCCTTGACCACACTAGAGAGTCTAGGCTGGCCTCAAGTTCACAGCATTCCTCTTCCTTCAGCCTCCCAATTGCTGGGTTATAGGCATGCACCACCATACTTGGCTAAAAAGGGAGTTTCACTTTAGCATGTCTCATCTTCTATTCCTTTATGAGATCTGCACATTTTGTTCTGTTGTCTTTGAGACTGGGTTTTACTATGTACTTCAGGCTGGCCCCGAACTCATTTTGTAGCTCCAGCTGGCTTCACATTGATCCTCCTGCCTCACCCTCCCCAGTGTGCCACCATACCTGGCTAGATTTTGTTCTTTAAGAGATTTTGTTCTTGAAATTTCGATGTAGTTATGTAGCTCCATTATACAAATATGTGTTATATTAATAATTTTGTACTATTATGACATCCGGACCACCTGAAATTAAATACCATCAAGGTGTCTTAAATTCTCAGGTGCACATCCAACAAATTTAAATCATGGCATATAACTATTTGGGTAAGAATGAGTTCTGCCAGAAAAAAATGTCAGTAACACTAATAGGGTTTTTTTTCATTAATTCATACTTATTCTCTTTTCCTTCAACATTTATGTAGTGAATATATTCTATATGCCAAATATTGACTTTAGTCCAGAATCCTGAAGTCATATTACAAATTTACAGAGCCCTCAGACTCAGATTTCCCTTGGTAGAATGGCATTAATGCAGGTATGAACTACTGAACTATAAGGTAATTTGATCTGCCAGAAAAGAACCTCTAGAAAAATGAACTTGTCGGGGCTGGTGAGATGGCTCAGTGGTCTAAAGCACCTACTTAGAACAAACTTAGCAAAGCACAGGGACCACATGCCAGCCAGCCCCGCCCCCTGGTGGGCTGAGCTGGCCACACACACACACACACACACACACACACACACACATAAATAAAATAAATAAATTCTGAAAAAAACAAAAATGAACTTGTCATTGATTTAGCATTTTTTTGACACTAACAGTTTTAGTTACTGTCGAAGAATTCAATGTATCAACCCATATTGATATGTGATAATTTTGCTTCACAAATAATTCAGGAGTAATACAACAACATAAAATGCAGGATATTGGCTCACATCAAACACAAATCTGAATGTCCTATTTCCATAATTTAAAGTACATGTAACTTCTACAGAAAGCTATTTATGAACCGCTAAAATAAAATTTTCCCTTATTTCAGAGTTCACTAAAGAAAGAAGTCCATAACTACAAAGGCAAAAGGAAGTACATTAATATAGCAGAAAGATTACCCAGAGTTTAAAAAGTTAAGTGAAGACATTAGGTCTCAAGTGCCCTTAACAAATACATAGTAACTAAGTGCGGGGGGAGTATATGTGTAAACTTACTGCGACCATTAATCTTGTTTTGTCTACTTCACTGGATTAAGAAACACCTAGCAGATAGTAAAAAGCACACTCCTATGTGTTTCTGGGACCAGAGGGCCCATACATGCTTCTACCTTGGTCCTCTCCAGTAGCGTACTACACTGCTTCCCAGATGGGAAGAGCCAAGTAGCTCTGTTCCACCGTGCCCTTCCCCTGTGATGCTCCTGCCTTGCAGCCTGCTTAGTGAGGACTGAATTCTCTTAAAGTGGGAGCTAAATTAAACTTCTCTTAGTTGTCAATGTTTTGTTTTTTTTTTTACATTTATTTATTGTGTGGGGGGGGGCAGCTCAGCCCACCAGGGGGCAGGGCTGGCTGGCATGTGGTGCTGGGGGATCGAACCGCGGTCCCTGTGCTTTGCCAAGCTTGTTCCAAGTAGGTGCTTTAGACCACTGAGCCATCTCTCCAGCCCTTAGTTGTCAATGTTGAGTACTATGTCCAGCAACAAGAAAGCTGATTAGTATGGAAAACCACTACCAGAGATGTAGGAGTGTTACATTAACCATTGGGCTTTTAGAACTGGTTTGTAGAAGAATTTTGGAAAGATTTGAGGATCCAGGCTAATAAAGCCTTAGAATCTAGTAAGCTGAGTCTGATGGGTAACTCCAGTAAAAACTTAAGATCAAAATCTTGACAGGAAAGTGGACAATAAAGGGCTGCACCAGGATGTTTCATTTGGGAGCAAGGATTTTATCAGGAACTAAACTAGAGGTCAGGGGAGATGGCTCAGTGGAATAAACACTTCCCTGGCAAGTGCAAAGGCCTGAGTTCAATCCCCAGTTCCGCAAAAACAAAAAAAAAAAACCTCCTAAACTAGAGGTCATGTGTTCTACACTTTGGCAGAATATGTTACCTGTACTTTACCCATGTCCTGGGACTTTGTGAGAGAGGAAGATTAGGGCAAGATTGGACTAGTCTGGTGCAAGAATTCCAAAACAGCCCCACATTCAGGCTGTGGCACGGATACTACTGGCTGCTTTTGGCCAGATTCATTTTGAGAAATGGAGGCAGAGGAGCAGAAAATTACGAGAACTTTAAATTTGGCCCAGATGTAACCATATGTAAAGTCAAGGCCAAAGAAGTATGGCTGCTAAAGAGATTAGAACTCATTAAAAATAAACCAAGCACTTTGCACCTGGCCAAGAAGAAAGGTCTTCTAAGAAATCAGCAAGACCCAACCCAGGACTGCCAAAGTGTCAACTTTTCATTTGACCAGAGTCGGAGTCCTGCTGAAGAAGGGCATCTGGGTTGGGAAGACAGCTTAGTGGTTTAAGTGTCTGCCTAGCAAGCACAAGGACCTGGGTTCAAGCCCTGGTACTGCATGCTGTGCTAGACCCAGAACCCCAGATGCACTGTGCTGGCCACTAAATCCAGGTGTGGTGCTGGTCACTAAACCTGGGAGTGGTGGTGCACACCTGTAATCCCTGTGCTGGGGAGGCTGAGACAGGAGGATCACGATGAGTCCAAGCTGTACAGTGAGACCCTATACCAAATAAATAACTTTTAAAAAAAGGTTCCTGTGGGTTTTTTTTTTTTTTTTTTTTTGGTTTTTTTTTTAAATAAGTGCATCCCAGGGAATTGACTCGCCAGGATTCGTTTCACTGTTTTATTCATCCAGGTCACTACTGTATATTCATGAGCCAAGGCACCTGCCTACTGCTTCTATTGATGGCAGACTTCGGCATGAATCATGAGATGCTGGTTTTACCAGCATACAGAATGCAAGAGTTGTATCCATGGGGCTCCACTGAGATTTCAAAGGAAAGCCTGGCAGACCAGGCAAGAAACATCTGAGAAGCTAGTATTTGAAGCTGTGAGAATATCACCAAACATACAGTGCAGACCCTAGGAAATCAAAATTGCCAGCAATAGGGACTATCAGACAAGAAAAACTGCAGGCCGTGAGTGCAGTCAGGAAAAGAGAGAAGCATTTTGAGCTGTGTAGCAAGATCAGAAGGGTGGGGCTGACCTAGCCCTTTGGAATGCCTCTCTTAACCACATGCCCTGATGCCCAATACAGAGCTATATACAAGACTTCATATCTGCACAGATGGCTTTTGCTCTTCCCTTGGTCCTATTCTTTTCTATCCCCTCTACCTTCCTTATGTAACTTGTTAAGAGTCTGCCTTGAATCTTTGAAGGGACTAGGACTTGGACTTCTGCAAAGTTTTGGGACTACTGAGATGTTGAGAAAGGGACTGTGGCCACTTCAAGGATAGTTACATTATTGTTAGCTACAATGTTAGGCTTGCTATTATCTTTATTTGGAAATTACAGATGGTTTAAGGAGATGTGAGGTGTGGATTGGGACTTCTTTATCAGCTTCACTGGATTAAGAAATGCCTATGAGATGGCTAAAGCACAAGCCTGGGTGTGTACATGTGGCTCACTGAGGCATGACCCTGGGTACTCACACCAATCCCCTGCTCTGCTTCCACCACACCCTTCCACAAAGACATTTCTCACGTGGAGCTGCTGGCTATGGACTGGATTCTCTTTAAGCAAGAGCCAAATACAACCTGTCCTCCTTTCAACTCTAAGTGTCAGGAACTGTGTTCAGCAACAAGATATATAGATATCTTTATATATCTATACATAGGTATCTATCTATCTATCTATCTATCTATCTATAGAGAGAGAGAGAGAGAGAGAGAGAAACAGCCAGCCAGCAATTGTATTATCATTCAGAAGAGTCAAAGACTGACTCCAACCATAAAGTAAACTCTGCTACTCTGCCTGAAAGGATCACTTTTGTATTACAAGTCTGCATCAAATTCAGCTTCAACAATTACTAAGAAAACTAAAACAAAAAATAAAAACACAGAAGTCTTAAAGAACAACCATAGGTCTAAATGCAGAGATCAGAAATACTTAGCACAGGGGCTGGAGAGATGGCTCAGTGGTCTAAAGCACCTACTTGAAACAAGCTTGGCAAAGCACAGGGACTGCGGTTCGATCCCCCAGCACCACATGCCAGCCAGCCCCGCCCCCAATAAATAAATGTAATAAATAAAAATAAATAAATAATTTTAAAAAAAGATAGTTTTTTCTTTAAAAAAAAAAAAAAAGAAATACTTAGCACAAGTGATCAAAACTGGCCATTATTTTAACTTGGAACTCAATGCTAACAAGAATGATACACTGAGAACTCAGGGTTTCCCGTCACTGGATCTTATTTATACTTACTGTGCAGAACAGATACCAGTTTCTTCCTTGAAAGACTTGCCTTCATTCTATTTTGAGTAGAGAAAAATTACTCTGCCAGGCAATAGGCGTGCAGCTCAGTGATAGAGCACAGATTAAGCATGCTTTAAGCCCCGAGTTTGATCCACACCCAAAATAAAAAATTTACTACATCCTACATAGGCTAGCCAAATGAATACTATAAAGACTTATCAAATTTCTAAATGAGATAAAATATTCCTAGCTCAATTTTTATTCACAATTTTTCTACTTACAAAGTCTTGACGTATATCATTGAAGTCTTTGCCATATTTTTCCAATGCTTCTTCAAATAAGCTAGCTTCAGAGGCTGACCACTCCTCCATTTCATCTCTGCATAAAACAGGTCCTCCAAGGGGCACTAAGACACTAATTGCACTGCTCAAGTCATAGCCGTGTCTGTACAATGTATCCATAGCATGAAACTAGAGAAACAAAACACAGAAAGGAAATGTCAACTAGATATGCATGCTTGCTATATTATTTAGTTGAAAAAATTATAATACATAACAACAAAGTAGCACTTTTTAAATAAAAAGATTACCAAATAAGCACTTAAAATCTCATTTATTGCTTTAGTAAAACATTGACTTGTTCCCTTAAAATGCAGTGATGCATGCCTGTAATTCCCTCTACTGGGAAAACTGAACTGACCGTAAGCTCAAGACTAGCCTGGGCCACTTAGACCCTGTCTCAAAAGCAAGCTAAAGATATGGCTCAGAGGTAGGATGCATGGGTAGCACAGGCATGGCCCTGGATTTACTCCCCAGTACTGGCAAAAGGGATGGGGACAAATTGTGAAATGCTGATTTGTACCTGTTAAGGGTATGTATGCCAAAGTTACTTCAGTAACTGTACAAAGTTGATATAGTTTTCTCTGGCTAGGGAAATACTGGTAATACACCAGAAAGTGAGAAAAAAATATTCTAGGGTTGGAATAAGAGAATAGTAAGAGATACAAACCAATGGATTGGAATACAATATTTAAGGCAAAACAAAACTATATATCCAGGTTAAATAGGCAAAATAAAACAGAAGTATCTATCCATGTTAAAATGGTAACCTGACAGACTTTGGAAGAACAAGAACAGACTACCAGGTCTGGTTATGACACCTAGGCAGCCGTGTTTTGTTTCCTATACATTTCAACGAGTGACCTGAAAAGAGGAAGACAGATTGGTGAATACTATCACCTGGTGCTTACAATCCATTTTTTTTTTTTTTCTTTTTTCTTTTTGCAGAAGCACCTCAGGTCTAATCTACATAAAAAGCATTTTCTCCACTCAAAACAATGAATAAAGTAAGTTCAAAAATTTTAAGGTTTAAAACTCGTTGATGGGGCCAACGAGATAGCTCAGTGGTCTGAAGCGCCTCTTAGGCAAGCTTGGGCAAGCGCAGGGACCTTGTCAATCCCCAGCACTACATGCCACGCCAACCCCACCTCCAGGACAGGCCTGAGCCAGCCATAAAAATAAATACATTTAAAAAAAAAAATTCTTTGATGGTTTTTCTATTGGATAGAAAGACACTCATTCATAGCATCTACACCCACTCTGTACAGCAGGAAATCACAAAATAGGATAATCAGCTCTGCACATACATGGCTTTTCCAGACTAGTTGGCAAGGTGAGTCAATCCCTGCCCAAATGAGAACTAGTTCTGGTTTCACTCCTTCCCATCCAGACTTTCTAACACATGAACACTAAGTCTTCCATCTTTTACACAAAGTACCTTCTGCTGTTTATTAATAACTTCATAGATGGAGACAGCTTTATTTCTACACAACAATTAAGTTTCTTAAAATTTACTACCTAAATGATTCCTGAGTATACTTCAGGAACTGTGGAAAGTTCCCTGCCTGTATAAGAACATACACTAAAATCTAATATCAACTAATACATATGAAGACAAAAATGATTAGCCAAGCATGCACTAACAGTATATATTTACACTGAATAAAAGTGTGAATCTATTAGAAGAGCTAATCCATATTAAACAAGTTTAGAAATAATAACTAAACTGCTTTAAATAAGGTTGACATCTCTCTTAAACCACTGAACTCCACTAAACAAAATCCAAGCAGAGATTTCATTATCAGCTTCCTAGTTACGGCCAGCAAGTCCACCAACCGCGTGCAGTCTTGCTGTATGTGAGGCACAGTCATGGAGCAGTAACTTTCAAGTAAATTTCCTCTTAGCCATCTGTTATAATTACTTTGGGTCTGGATGTCCCCCAAAGCCTCATGCAGTCAGTCATGGGGTGGGCTTCTAGAGTTTGCGATTAATTCACAATACAATGCTAGGATTAAGGGTGAGAGTGTCCACTTGCCCTGGGTAGACCGCCTGAATGCAAGGTCAGAGAGGAAAAGAGGCTCGCTGCCCTGCTGCTCCTCCCTTTTTGCTCTTGCTCTGTTTTCTGCAGCCATGAACTGCTGTTCCCTGCCACGGGCCAGGCCACTCTGCCTGGAGCCAGCTGATTAGACTAAAACCTCTACACACGTGAACTAAAGAAACTTTTCCTTCCTTTATTCTAGATGTTGGGTATTTGGTCCCAGCAATGAAGAGAAAAGTAATCGAGACATCTTTTTTGCCCAGGTGGGGGGTGGGATGGGGGGTAATGACACAGGCATGCAACTGGGTCTCACTATATAGTTCAAACAGGCCTGGAACCCAGTTTGTACAGCCCAAGCTGGCCTTCAACTCACTGCAGTCTTCCTGATTCAGCTGTCTGGGTGCTGAGATTACAGCTGAGAACCACTACACCCAGCTTTAGCTTCTCACCCTTCTGCAACAGGTGTTGTAAAACTCAACTAAGAACTGATCTTAATTCTTCCTTCGTACTCCACAAATTATAGTATCAACTGAAGTTTGCTTCTCTAGCTGAACTCAGTAAGTAGACCCTGCAGTTTAGCTTCAGTACAGCATTTACTTTTGTATGTTTACAACACCTCTGAAACTAGTTTCTGAATAACTGATCAAAAAAGTGAAAAGATCAGTATCGTTTAGAGATCCCTTCAATTAACAGCCCCATCATTATTTTTTTAAAATTTATTTATTTGTGTGTGTGTGTGTGTGTGTGTGTGTGTGTGTGTGTGGCCAGCTCAGCCCACCAGGGGGTGAGGCTGGCTGGCATGTGGTGCTGGGGGATTGAACCGCGGTCCCTGTGCTTTGCTAAGCTTGTTCTAAGTAGGTGCTTTAGACCACTGAGCCATCTCACCAGCCCCCCATCATTGTTATTTTATAGCTTCCTAAACTCATAATTAATAACAAAACTAAATAATTGAGCTGGGTGCAATGGTGCACAACTATAATCCCAGCATTTGGGAAGCTGAGGCAGGTGGACTGAAGTGAGTTTATGAACTGTATATAGCAAGATCCTTTCTGGGGGGAAAAAAACCCAAAAAAAAACCCTAAACTAAAAGATTCATACTGTCAAAATTCATTAATACAAATTAACTGATGATGAAATCTCTTAAGAGATAAAAGTAATTTTTATAATTAACAGAAACCAAAAGACACAGAACTAAATGTGTTTTTCTCAGCTAATAGTACACCAACCACTCAAAACCTCTCAAGACCACATTTAAACCACAGCCCACAGCAGAGCGCAGCACCGTTCCACAGGGTAGAAAGGAAGCACCTCCCCAGCACTGGAGGAGCAACCCAAGTTTGAGACCAGCTGGGTTACAAATTAAGTTCACGGCTGCCTGAACGATACAGGAAAATCTTGTTTATAAAAAAAAAAACCTTTAAGTGAAACGAATATAATCTGTGCCACAGAAGAGTCAACACCCAATAACGAAAGTGGGGAAAAAGGGCATATTGTGAAAGAACACAGCACTATAACATAATAACCAACAACTTAGTGTTCATCACTAAGATCATGAAAATTTAAAGATACAGAAAAGTTTAAAAACAGGAACAACTCATCAATGGTGAATAAAGTCAGAATCCTGGCTGGCAAGGGACATGAAGGAAAACTTTTGTGATACTGACACACTTTTATCTAGATCTGATATCTGCACATGTAAATTTATACAATGTACAACGAAGTACAAGACATTACATATTACTGTATGTATAAGTCAATTTAAAATAAAAAAATGTAATAAGCATAAAACCCCTAAAGTCTTCTCTCCAGATCCTTTGCAAAAATATCATCTTTCCAAGAGAGATACACACATTGCAGGACCCATTCAAATCTAAATTTTAAAACTCATCACCCAGCACAAGCTGTTCTCTCTGCCAATAAGTGGAGAAGGTGTTGTCACATTTCATCTCATTCATAACAGATGGAGATGACAAATCAAAGTATTTTAGGAGAAAGACTGACAAGGAAATCTTGGCAGTGGAATTCTCATCTTTTGTTCGTTAAGCATAATCACACTATGGTAAATTGGATTGTTCAGCAAATATTTGCTCTCTCCTCTGAACCTGCCCCAGAAACTGTTCTCTCGCCCCACTGATGTAGGGCTTCCCAAGTGACTTGCTGGCCAGCTCAACACTAAGACAGGAGACCTGAGCAGAGACTTGACCTATGTCCGAGATCTGGTCTCACCCTCTTGTGTTGCTGACTGTCGTGCACACAAGATGAGAGACACACAGGGCAGATTTAGACCCACATGTAGCTTGGCACTTAGTCACTTAATGTGGTTTACCAGAGCCTTGTCAACCTGCAGGTGAGTGTATGAGAAACCAATGTTTATTGTTATACCAGAAATTTGAGGTGATGTAATGGGTTCCCCAGCCACCCCTTTAAGAAGGTAGAACTTGCCTAGCTGCTTCAAGTACTACAAACACACAGCCCTCCTCCCCTTGGTTTTCCATAGTTATCTCAATTTAAGAAAGTTACTGCTCAGGTTACTTCTGGGAAGCCTCCAATCAACAATGCAAGGTGCAACAGCTCTCTCCAGAGAGGGCCCTTCAGGGAGCCCTGGGGAGTAAGGGCCTTCGTGCCTACTGCATCACAGCCCACCTTCTCCCAAGAGCCCATGCTCCCTTAACCACTTCCCTACAGGTGCTAATCCCTAAGGCACTTGCTAATAAATTTCTTGCATGAAAAAGCATCCTTAGAATCTGTTTCCCAGGCGACCCAACCAGTTATATGTAGCACTGTTATGACAGCACCTGGTACACACATATCTTCAATATTAACTAATTTGCTCAGAAACAATTTTATAAAAGCTTTACTTTCATAATTCCAGCACAAATTAGAGCACACAAAACATCACATCTACTTAAAAATTATTGAGCATAAAGTTTTTCTCTAAGCAGAAAGTGAATGAATGTAAACTCTCAGGAGTACAACCTAAAACTATGATCAATGCAAACTTTTTATGCATCAAAAAGCACAGCTACTGTGGAGAGGCACCCTTGTGATTCCGGCATTCTGGAAACCTGGGGCAGGAAGATTGCAATTTCCTCTA